CGAATTATTTCTGTCAACTGGAGTCTCATCAAGTTGAATAGCAAAACACATTTAATCTTTTATTGAAGAAATATCTTGTTCTTTCACATTTTCTGCTAAAATAGAAATTCTTTTTTTCAAAAACATTGGCAGACAAAAGCATTGAATTTAGTTTCATGGCCTCTTTCTGTCATAATTTCCGCCATTTTCAAAGCTGCTTGTTTGATCAATTCTTAACCAACAGTATGACGACTCGTTTTGGGCAATCAACCAGGCTACTTGAAAACTAGCCTCTAATGCTGAACGTCGATCGAAGGTATCTCTCACGCTTCGATCCAGTCTTTGTGTTTTGACAGTCAGTTACAAATCTGAAATGCATTCCCGCGGTTGGGCGTGGGTACAAATTATCCAAGTGTTTCTTCAACTGACTGTTGAAAGATTCTGCAATCAGTGCTTTCAGACCGACAATACACCGTGGTTTCATTACTCCTTTCTCTTCTATTTGTGTAAACCCATAATTGAGGAACCCTTCCTTGTATATTCATTTCTAGTCGATGCCATGTGAAAAGTACAAAAGACAGTGATGAAAAAAACTTTAACCCTTTAGCACACGTTTTTATAGTTTAACGAGGACACGCGTAAAGTGGAGAAAACCTGCGCATATACAATATGGGTAACTTCTTAAGTACTGTTTAATCAGCGAACAAACTTTTGCAGACTGAAAATAATAAAACATTGCAGAAATAATTTTATTTTAAATAACGAGAGAAAAATATTATTTTTTTACATTAGAAAAACTGAAATTACTTTAGTTCTGCACTATGGGCATTTTCAGACCAAGCACATTCAACAAAACTATTTGTGCACTTTCTACAAATAATTTTATTGTTTCTGAAGCACTGAAATTTCGTCGGGCGATTCTTTTTTGTATCACCAGGACGAGATCTTTTTTCATTTGTTTTTTTGCGTAGATATGTAGAACAGGAACACCTACAATTTGAAAAGTGCGGAGGATTCTTCCGCGCGCTCGAGGATTAAATGCCCCCTCGTGAAATTTTTCATTTACCGCTTTTGATTTTATGAATAATAAAACCTTGTCAACAAAAC